ACAGTAGCAGAAATATATATTTTTCAAATGGATAAGACTGTCAATAGATATCTAGATTTAGTTGACTTACAACAGCTGATAATACAAATCTAAGAATTAATATTTTCCCTGCAACAACACCAAGGAATAGAGCAGCTTAAAGCTATGCAACCTTCTTTAAAATTCGGTAGTACTTTTTCACTTGAATTTTTTTAAATGTTAGAAATCCAAATAACGACAATGATGGGTGTTAGCCTTAGAAAGAAATAAAAAAAAAAACAGCATTCACTCAACTGGATTAACATTTTAAGCCTCACTTGGCATGACTTTTATGAAGGACTATTTCGAACATCACAAAAGAAAGACGGAATCATCGCAAACGAAACAAACAAAACAAAAAAAGCGTACAAAGTGTGAACAAAAACTGGCCTTACATTCTTCAACACACAATGGAATCACAACCTTTGTCACAGCCCCACCATCCCCACTATTCCCGGAAAAATCACTTTAGGACATTTTGTGAAAAGTGCCTCAGACATTATCCGCTTGCAACTAAATGGATCATGGTATCAGGAACGGGGACCGTGTAAGAGTCGGTATTGTCCCATAGCATGACGGATGCCTTAACGCCTGCCAGCTGGCCAGCCAGTCAGATTGCATTAAACAATGCAAAAACCAAATGTATGCCCCCTGTGCTTCTGCTGCTGTTGGTGAACAGCAAATGTGAATTGAAGAACAAGTGACTCACGGAAAGCTGTTGTGTAGAAAACAACTGGTCATCTCCAAGGGAAGCTGGGGAAAGGACTTGCTTTTTTACGTAATCAAGGAGACTTCTTTCTGCCTTAACACCACTTATGCCATGCAAGACATTTCATGAAATGGTGATTGTCAAAAAATAAATATTTGAACATGTTGAAAAAGACAATAACAGCAACAACCAGAACAAAATGATGGCCAACAAGGGATTGAAAGGAAATTAGAGAATTGGTTTACACAGGCGTCCCAAATAGACTGTAGATGTGGGTGTATTGCGGCATTCGACGAAGCAAAATAAGTCGTGGAATGAAACCATGCCTCAGGTTCATGAAAATGTATCTGATGTTTTAAACAATACTGTAAAACAAAATATTTAAAGGAAAACTTAATGTTTTGAATGTTAAACATTTCTAAAAAGGATTTGCTTTCAGAATATTTTCAATAATTTACGACAATCGCTACAAATTCTCTGAGACAAAATGGTTTTTGGTTAGTGCTTAATCCCAATTACTTCGAAAAAATACTAGTTTCCAAAGAACTGCCCTTGAAAGCCATCATTCCCGGCGAAACGGGTCACATAGCAAAGAGTGTGTGACAGTGTCATTCGGCTTTCCTTTTCACTGTAAATATCAGACCACTAAACTTATCTCTAAAGAGAAATAAGCAAATAAATTATAAACATATGATCTTCGTACAAAAACAATTATTTAAATTTTCAACTCAAAATAAAAATAAAAAGTGGAATCCGAAAAAAATAAAAATCAAATCAACCTGAATGTCTATAAATCGATTTAGAGAATTGTGAGACGCTAAAATTTCATAAATAAATAATTCCAAACAAAATGTGATATATTCGCATTGCTTCCGTGATGCTACGAAGAAGAAGAAGAAGAAAAAAGTTAGACAACCAAAAGATGGAGAAGACATCGATATCCCGGTGGATTGAAAAAATGCGATTTAGAGAACAGCCACAATGCTGGTTGGTGTCGGAACCACGAGAGACGATGTTTTTATACCACGGAGTGGCTCCCACCTCGGCACGCAACACGTATGGCTCATTAATAATTTAGACAACTTATCAGAACTTATTTTTCTTCCAGGATAAGATATTTATTCCAAGTGTTGTAACATTCAATAGCAGAGCTTAAGCGACTGCCCAAAGACGGAACAATAAGTTAAGGTTAAAATCTTATGATCAATATCCTTTGAATTTAATTTTAATTATAAACGTAGATATTTTAGCCCGTATTAGTAGCAGGATTTAAAAAAGATTCGATTTTTAGTCGTTTAGCCATATTGTTTTTCCGGTGATATAATCAGAATTGTCTCTTAAGGAAATAAATGTTTCCTCATGGACGAGGTGGGTGTCGTCACTTTAGACATTTAGAATCGATCTAGAAATGTCGGTCCATCCTTTTGTCTAGCGAGCTTAATGACGCTGACGACAACTCTCAAAGAACTACGTATTCGAATATGGACAGTACTTCCCTCCAAGGTAATCATATTGAATAACAATGTGAATGTAAACAAGTAAAAAAACATTAAGTTCGGCCGGGCCAAACTTTTAATACCCTCCACCCTAAGGTAAAAGAACATTAGAAGAAATGTGGCAAAAAACATTAAAATGCCGAATATCGGGAGGTACCGTTATATAGGGGCTACACCAACACGTGCACCTATAATTACAATGTTTCGCCACACGAACTAGGACCCATTATGACCCACAAATACCAACTTTTACACAAATCAGTGAAAAAATGTGGCATAAATCATCAAAATACCGAATATCGGGAGGTACCGTTATATGGGGACTATACCAGAACGTGGACCTATACATGCAATGTTTTGCCACACGCTCAGGGACCCGTTGTGACCTACAAATACCAATTTTCAGACAAATCCGTGAAAAAATGTGGCATAAATCATCAAAATACCGAATATCGGTAGGTACCGTTATATGGGGGCTATACCAAAACGTGGACCTATACATGCAATGTTTTGGCACACGCTCAGAGACCCGTCATGACCTACAAATACCAATTTTCAGATAAATCCGTGAAAAAATGTGGCATAAATCATCAAAATACCGAATATCGGGAGGTACCGTTATATGGGGACTATACCAGAACGTGGACCGATATATCTCATTTTCAATACCAACCATCCTAGGGACAATACACACACTTGTGCCAAATTTCAAAGGTCTACGTCAAATAATGTGGGCTCTATCGTGATTTCAACAGACAGACAGACAGACGGACAGACAGACAGACAGACAGACGGACAGACAGACAGACGGACATCGCTAAATCGTCTTAGAATTTTATGCTGATTATGAATATATATACTTTATGGGGTCTACGACGAATATTTAGAGGTGTTACAAACGGAATGACAAAGTTAATATACCCTCCTACCCATGGTGGAGGGTATAAAAAAGCCTGGAGAGTATACGAGACCACACCTCGATGTGTAAAATCTTAGACTTATGACTATATTCCACATTTGTTTGATTTGTTCCAACCGGGTCAAAGGGCTTGTCCGTCTCGGAGTGTGTTCGCGTTTCGATCGCCATATTTTTTATGAACTCTTGAATGAGGATGGACTAAGATTTTCCGCAGTGGTCTTTAAAAAGTCATGATTGAAAATATCGGTCAACTTCTTTTTCCCTCCTACCTCCATTATAATAATATATAATAAGATATGTATGGGGGAAACCAAATAATGGTTTCTAATTTTTTAATTATTTTTATCTTGGTATTTTTAATTTTTCTAAACTTAAGTTAGAACCTGTGCCAGACATTTAAAAATTGAATAAAATCCTTACAAAAAAATAGGAAATAAGAAATATTCAGTGGAACATTTCACACATCAATAAAAAGTTAAATTCCAAATGAAATACAATTACAATTTAGACGACATGGATGCAGCCAGCAGTATGCAATGGTTTCCAGTTTTCGTTGAATAAATAATTGGAGGAAATCTCTCAGACTTTCAAAAATGTGTTTTCGTTTGTGTGGATTCAGAAAACTCATGGCACTTTTCGTTCGAACTATCTCAGCATTGTTAATTCACATTCTAGTAATGGCTCTGACAAGTGTCGAATTGTCAGTCTGTGCGCCAAGGATAGACTCAACGAATGAACCAATGTATGTGTGTGTGTGTGAGCAGAGTCTGCTGTAATGTATGCTCGAACAAAGTCAATGAGCCTCATGAAATTGAGATTAGCACCACGTATTAGCAGCAGTGACGATGCTATGTCATGGAACACACTAGCATGCACAGAGTAGTAATTTTTTTGTGGGTTTAAAGCTTTCCAGCCTTAAAGTTATTGGAATTTAAACTTTACAGTCGGAATGTAGCACTAGATTCCTCTTTACGCTTCTCATTTGGAGGATAGAGCACTAATTCCTCTGTTTGTCATAATTCAGTATAAACGGACAAAACATTTATTGAGTGCCACAAGTCTATCCGAAAGATGAAAAGAATACATTTACAACGGTGCCACTAGTACCATTCTGTAAAAATTTGAATCTTTTTTTGTGTAATAATATACAGTCGAATCTCTCAATCGTTGATAATATGCCAGTGGTATTGAAGACAGGCCAAACTATATCGAAGAGTTTGACATATGTCATGATGACAAGTGAAATATCTGCTTATATATTTTTATAGAAGAATCCCCTTGCTAGCCCCTCAGCTCCATTCAAATATAGACGGATCGATTATATTATTTTGTAACAAATGTTTAGATTTAAAAGTATTTTCGTGTAACTTTATTATTCATTGTTGGCTACATTAGTTGAACATTTTCGCCAGATTGAATAAAACCAGTGAGGAATGAATCCGCACTGATGACAATAAATAATCCAATGTGAAGACATGGAAAGTTTACCATCATAGTCGACGACGATTTGTCCACCTCCCCTTCAATTCAAGACAAAGTCTTCTCGAAGTCGACACCGATACAACGAAGATGTTAAACAACAACATAATCATCGTTGAAACCAGACGACGACGACCGGAATTGGTGAACATAGCCAAGGCCACACGGTCTAAGGCAGATAAGAAGAGTAGATGGTTAAAAAGTGATTATCTACTTAACACACATCTGATTTCGGAATGTCAGTTATCGCAGACACCTCATGATGTTGGTGCGAAATCATGGAAAGAATACAAAGTTGAGAAGCAACTCATTCAAAATAAAACGAATTAAACACGATGACGTTGATGTGCCGCAAAAGTAGAAAACATGCCGTACTTACTTAATCTTCCGAAACTGTGTGAAAGCCTCTTTTTGAGTTTCTGAAGGGCACCGCTCTTTTTCTCCCGCATCGTGACACCTGCAAAGAGAAATTTTGAAATAAAAATTAGAATACAATTTTTGTTTAAAACTTAAAATAGCAATCAAAATTGTGCAGAGCATAAAACGCGTCTTAAAACAAGACCCACTTTTTTAATATCTGCCTACAACCCATCGTAAATAGGCATTATTTTCAAAGACAATGACACATTTAACAGATTTATGAAAAATCAGTGCTTATCTCCGCCACAATGTTCTGCAAACAAAAAAAGCTCTGTTCGCGAAGAAGATGACATTGGAATCAAAATATTTCATTTGATCATTGATGAGTTGGTTATCATCCTGGCCATCACTTCTTTCTTCATTACCCATAAATGCTATTGAACGACCCAATAAAGAAGCCATGATGAGTACTACACAGTGATGATGGCAGCTCCACCTACTGTACTCCACTTCTCTCCTACCCACCCACGTTATTCCTATGACTTTGCAGTGTCTGAAGAATGTCGTCGGAGCGAATAACAAATAATAAAAGAAAATGCAATTTTCTGTTTAAATAAGCACAGAATATGCTCCGGACTTTATGATGATGATGACGATGACGAAGATAGAGATGACGAGACAGGGACGACAAAATGCTGTTGCTTCCTCCAACTCCACAAGGCTTTGTTTGCCAATGACGATGGTGAAGTTGATGATGGCAACATCGATAATGCCGAACAGGATGACAATGCAAGATTGAGTAATCATTTGCTTATTGTTACATTATTACTGCACCGTCTCCCCTCCGCGAGAGCACAGCAATATTGCATTGAAGTAATACGAGTGAGAGGGGAATATGAATAGGACCGATAAAAGAGTCAATATTAAAATTGTTTATTGTAAATTTGTCAATTAGAACAAGTGCATAAAATCTCGTATATTTTCAAGGAGTAAAATAAGTCATATGTAAAAGAGCGGGAGTGGGAGTTGAAGTTATAGATTATCAAAATAAGAAGGAAGTGAGGTGAAAACTTCATAGATTGCAAAAGTTCTGACAAAAATTGTCTACATAAGGACATCCGTTCCTAACGGCTCTTTACAAAGGTAACCAGCCAAAAAAATGGGCGCCACATGAACCGAATATGTCATTACAAATTAATTTAAATAAACTATATTTTCTATTATCAGCAGGCTCAAAAATAATTATTAAATCCGAACAGAGGAGAACTTATCCGACTACAAAACCCATTTGGAGAGCGTCGGCAGAAATGATTTGCTGTTGAGGTAGTTGAATAGCCCTAAATGTCCTTAACCGCATCTCAGAGTCAGTGCCCCATTCCGGCAATAAACCAACAAAAAAAATGAGTTTGTTGAAATTAAACATAGATTGGTTTTAATTTATTTCTTCAATTTGAGTGACCGATAAGTAACTACTATTTTTTCGTGACCCGCCAAAAGTTGCTGAGGAAACCCATTATTTTATAATGAGTTTTTTTGCAGGATACATCCCAATTAACGGTAATTGTTGCCACTTTCTCAAGTCAGATAGCCTGTAATTTGTAATCGAGTAGAAATCGTTTCTGCGAAATTTTGTCAATATAAGACCTTATTTTTGTACAGTTCTCTGTCCTGTTGCCCTCCAATGTTGTAAAATTTATTTGAATCTGCATATTCATAGCATCTTGCAAAATTAGATATCTCCAAATATAGGGTGTAACAATTTTTTATATGGCAGTTTGAGTTTTCTGAAAATAACTGAGATTGTTTTCACCCCAACTGGATGCTAAATATGTGGAAGTTTAAATTAATTGGATTTCGCACCAAAATTATTCACCTTTGGCTCTGTTATGACAAAGAACCGATTTTAAGATAACCTTGAAAGCAATGTAACAACATGGGAAATATTTGAAATTTTTTATTTTTGTGTGCGAAAGACAAATAACAGTCGATTTCCATTGACCATTGAATATTTACTTTTCGGTTTCTTTTAAACTTTAAAGACTCTCCATACAAACACACGCACTTACTTCGTTTTTACATTTTGTTACACAAGTGTGTCCTAGAAGTTTAAGGATATGAATGTGAGCGTAAGGATATTTGCATGTTGGCTTGTAGTTTGGTAAACTAAACATGACAAGTAATCAAAATGTTAAACAATGAAAAACAGTAAACAAAACAAAAACGCTCCACAAACACACACACACACACACTCGCACACATTTACATACAAATTCAATTAGAGTGCAATTTGTTGAGAGCAGAACAAGTGGAGACGGAGAACAACAACAACAACTACGACGAAAGCAAGTGGCTTATGCAAAATATCCTGTATCCTTTTGGGAGACTCGAAAAAAAAAAAACTACCAGACAAACATACCAGGAATGAATATCTTGTTCGAGTTCTAATACGGAAAGCCGATTAGCTTTGGTAATTGAATTGGTGTCTTTGTCCCCGCCTGACACTTCCCTACTCCCTTGTCGGCCGCAGGTATCGCAACACAACACGTTTCGCAAATTATCCTATTTGTTTGGAATTATTGCCGATAAAGTTTGCCCTAATAGGCATATTTTTATTGGCATCAACAAAGATTAACTCGTTAGGCACGAATCTTTAATACTTGAATTTTAATGGCTTTTCCATGCTGCTGGGAAAAAGGCGATAGAAAATAAAACAAAAAAAGAACATTCGAAACTATTTAAAACTAAGTAATGAGAGATTGGAAAGTATTTGCATATTGAAAATCGCTATTCGTGCACAACAAATGGCAATTCTACAGCCATGATTGCCTGGTGATGCAGTTTGCAACCGACTGCCGACTCAATGATTGTGGAGGATTTTCAGGAGACATATTCATGTAAATGAAACAAATGGACAATGCCTGTTGTGCTCTACAGATACATTTAAGTCAAGTTCTTATATATTTGGACTTACGAAAATACGATTTTGGCTTTCTGTAAAGAAATGAATCGAAAACAGTACAAATTACTTGGGGTAAAAAAGTCAAGGGACTTAGTACCAAATATGTCACTTAATTATGTTTTATTTCAAGGATTTCCCTTTACTTGACCCCGTCAACTTCATTAGGTTGATATTAGCGGGTGTCATTCGTTGCTTGTATCCATATCGATAATTTTAAATAGCAAACATCCAAGAGTGAATGAAAAACGTTTATAAATAATTCCGAAACATTCTATTGGTGCCTTCCATATTCTTATCTAATGACGGAGCATTTAGTTTCCGCATTTATCAACCAATTTATGCGTTATTTTCTCATTGAGTCTATTCACGGTCCGCCCGTTCAAATACAGCAGCGATTTGTGAATTTGAATATTGCCATTTAGACGGTGATTCATTATTCAATCTCAGGCGAAGAATGGAGACGAGATGCGATGGGATGGGATGGGATGGGATGGGATGCATGCATATTCACAACAAGTGGCAATAATTTGTTATGCGTGTCACCCCGTCATAAATGGTTGACGGGCATTTAAAGAAAAATGCCGGCGCACGAGAAGCGAGCGAGAGAAGCGTATTCTTATTCAAATGCTAGTTGTCACATGTCACACCCACGTGGTTAGTGTGATGTCTATTTACAGTTTGTTTGTTTTTTTTTTTTTTTCTTTTCTTCTTTTCTTTCTATTCTCTTTTTTTTCAAACAGATACATGGATGTGTTTACACAGACAGTGGGTTGTCACTAAATATGGCAATAAAAAGTGTAAACATTACCCAATCTTTTTGCTAAAAATGGGAAGACTGAATGTCGAAATTTCGGTGTTATTTAAATAAACATGATTTGCAAAATTTATGGATCAGCTATCCCAGCAAACAATATTTTCGAAATTGAAAGCACTAAAATTAGTAGATGCCTAATATCATAATGCAAGAAGAACAATTAAAAAAGCAGCTAAGTTCAGCCGGGTCGAACTTTTGATATCCTTCACCGTTTGGAAGAATTTTAAATATTTCAAAATTCCGAAAAATACCGCTAAAAATAAAAACATTACGGGGGCTATAGGAAGAAAAATATTTTTTTATTAAGATCTTCAAATACGAAATTTGAAACAATTCCGATATATAATGTCGCTAAAATCATCGAGGTGCCGAATAAAGGGAGGTACCGTTATATGGGGGCTATACGATGACCTGGATCTACATGACCCATTTACGACCTTAGCCTGCCTGCTGACAATATACACACATGTGCATAATATTAGTCTTCTATCTCAATTCGTTCGAAAGACAGCGTGATTAGAACAGACATTAAAACATCGCTAAATCCACTTAGAGTTTTACGCTGATCAAGATATATATTCTTTGTAGGTTATTATGAGTAATTCGAGGAGTTACAAACGGAATAATTGGTGGATATACAAGCAACGATTTGGAAACCAATATTCAATGGGTCATTGTTGAAATACACCCCCAAATGCTGGAAAATGTGGTCGAAAATTGGACCTCCAGAATGACCTCTGTGCAAAATAGTCGTGGTGATATGATCGAAATTATATTTTAATGTTTAATGACAAAAGAAATTATCTATCAAAATGTTTTGTTCATATTTGAGATAGTCAAATGTATCCAAGCCTTTGGCATTACGAATATTTGCGAGACGAAGAACATCCACCCGATTACCTACCTCCGAGGGAGCAGCAACGCGAGTTCCACAGCGACACACATTATAAACACAAGAGTGAGATAACAAATAATGAATCGCAACTACTCGTATTCGACGTTAGGTTTGTGGGTCCTTAGGTCTATCCTGGCGTGTTTTTTTCATCTCAATCACTCGTTACAATATTAGCTATTTTCTGAAAACTTTAGTCTACTCAGTCAACGATACAAAATAGAATATGAATAAAAAAACTTGATGAGTTAATTCTGCCTCGTAGCTTACCCCTTCACGTGAATGTCGAAGAACTTCGTCGGTGTGCAATTTTCATAAATATTTTGCTGGGATATTTTCTGAAATCGCAAATACTTCACTGGGATTTTCCGACAAAAAATGTTTGCAATTATTCGAAGAAAACTTGAGGGAGAGTACGAATGTGAGATGAAA